GCGGAGTAGGAGAAGGCCCTTTTGCCTAGTTCAGTCCTCATTGAGGGGACACTGCAGGTAATAATGTCCTGAGAGCGCACGCTGTAGCTGCACTCACGCAGAGAAATGTAGGAGGAGATCTCTGTGGCTGGTGATACGATTCGATTCTGATTTTTGGTGTCACGATACGATTTAAAATCAATTTTTCGATTCAGAAACTATTTTTCTATTGAAATGGTCATAAATTTAGTTTCAATTATAATGTATATGTAACTGATGAGCTGAAAAGATTAAACAACAATGTAAACCAATAGACCATTTATTTAAAAATCATTTTAGGTTCCTTACTGTATCAAATATTTTTGTTCATTTTATATTTATACCAAAAATAGGAAAAAATATAGGAGTGCATAAAATTCTGTAACTTAAATTATCAGTATTAGGTTAGCTTAGCTGCCTGAATTTTTCTAAAAAAAATAAAATTTAAAATGAAAATCTAGGAACAAATAATTCATCCATCCATCATCTTTATTCACTTCTTCCTTTTCGAGTCACGGGTGTCACTGGTGCCCACATCAGCTATCACTGTGTGAGAGGCGGGGGACACCTGGACAGGTCTCCAGTCCATCACAGACAAATAATTCAAAATATATAAATATAAAAGTACACAGACTTCAGCCTACCATACATCGTATATTAACCTTTTAACTCAAAATAAAATACAGACTTCAGTTATTTTTCACCATATTGCTCTGACATTTGTTATATTTTCAAAACTTAACCTAATATGAAATATACAGACTTCACAGTCTTAACCATATTGATTCATATTTAGTAAATATTTAACAAAATTTCAAAACCTGTGCAAGTTTGCACAAAATCTCTTCTGAACTATAATTTATAAACCATAAACTGTATCATTTAGAACTGGCTCCAGGTGATGTCTCTTCAACCTGTTAAAAAGACAAATTCCATTAAGTTCGTTTTATAACTTATCTATAAGTTTTAGTATAATATGAGAAATAACAGTTACCTTTGAGCTGCAGCTGCATCAGAGCTGCTCCCTTTCGTTGTTTCATGGTGAAGTTGTTGTGCTGCTTTATCGCAAAAAATAAATCTACTTGAATGAATAACGTACATTGAATCCAGCTTATTAAAAATAAAACTCAACCCCTCACCTTCCACTGAGCTGTCTGCTCGTAAATCCTTTGTGATGCAGCAGGAGATGGAGAGGGAACTCTTCACACTGGAAGTTTGTTGCAGAGTTCGCTGGTCGGCTGCTTCGCTTTCATCTTCTGTGAATTGTGACGTATTTCCAAAATACTGTACCGCAATTTTATTTTACACTTCTTGTAAACAAATGTGCTCTTGTTAAGCTCTGTCTTCCCCCGGGACATTGTAGGATCTGAAATGATTTTTAAAGACGAAGCAGCGGGCTGAATCGCACTCTCCTCCATGCTAGCAGGCTCCATTCAGATAAAGGGAGCTGGCTAACTAGCTTGCTGTACGGTGGCCTACATGGCTCAATTCTACGGCGGCCGAACGGGGAGTAGGAGCGGAAAAAATATAAAACTTAAATGCATTTTAAAATCGATTTTTGGACCTTTAGAAACGATTCAGAATCGCCAGGACTAAGAATCTAGATTCATCGAAAAAACCAATTTTTTTCTGCACCCCTAATACCCTGAAGAGTTCTGTTCAAAGATTTTGTGACACATGGCAGCCTTTTATGTTGTATGTGGAAAACTTGTCAATGCCTGTGAGGTGAGATGGTGTTCCACTTCCCCACTCTGTGCACCAGGTGTTAGTCAGAGAGCACCACTGATTGATGGGAGTGACAGACGCCTTTAAACTTGGGCAGATTGCTGCTACAAGGTGCGTTTTTGTTCCTCCTGCTGCACGTCAGCTGTTTGTGTAAGTGGTGTTCTTGGGTTCTTGTCATCTGAGATCCATTGCTGCTCCACTGGCGTTATTGGCTGCACCTGAAGCCCTTTGCTGCTGAGCCGCTCATCCCCCTGATAGGCTGCGCTCCTGCTCCTCGGCACATGGCTGAACTGTGCTTAAATGCTCCAGTGCACAAGGACGCTCTGTTGTCTTGTTCTGTCTTGTCCTGGGTTGAGACACTCTTCAGAGTTTGGGCTGCTCCTCCACTGCATTCGTTGCTGCTATTGTTGCAGCCGGTCAGTTGGACAGCGCATGTCTCCTCTGCCCTGTTGTATTCTGTGAGACTGGACATAAACAGTTTGTTCCATCTGTAGTACGTTTAATTTGTTATTGTATGTGGAACAACTAAAATATCATCTTTCTGTGTTTCAGTGTCCCCTGCAGATGTTCAGCAGACTCTGCTGATCAGAGGAGATGCTCCTGAGGAATGGAGACCTGATGTGAACCAGCAGGACCCAGAGCTCCTCCACATCAAGGAGGAAGAGGAGGAACTCTGGACCAGAATGGAGGGAGAGCAACTCATTGTGAAGGAGGAGACTGATGTCAGCAGGTTTTCATTCACTGCAGTTCATGTAAAGAGTGAGGATGATGAAGAGAAGCCTCTGTTCTTACAGCTTCATCAGTATCAAATGGAGGACAGAGATGTTCCAACCAGCAGCTCAGCTGACCAGATGAAAGTAGAAGCTGATGGAGAGGACTGTGGAGGAGCAGAAACCAGCAGGAACCCAGATCTAAATCCTCATGGAGATGCTTCCAGCTCTTCAGAGACTGAAGTCAGTGAGGATGATGAAGAGGACGAGGATGGGGACAGTCCTGACTCTCAGCTGGAACACTTGTCAGACTCTGGGTCAACAACTGAAGACCGAGACAAAGACTGGAAGGAGAGCAGGTCTCCTGAGTCAGCTGTAAACTCTGTCAACAAATGTTTCAGCTGCTCTGAGTGTGGTAAACATTTTCTGCACAACCGGTCTCTTCAGAGACACTTGACATGTCATTCAACAGAAGGACATTCAAGCTGTTTGGGTCATAAGAAAAGTCTCAGAGAGAAGAACTGGAAAGTCCAGATAGGACCAAAATCATTTAGTTGTGATGAATGTGGTAAAAGTTTTAACAGTAATACACATTTAAACTTACACATGCAAATCCATACAATGGAGGAACCTTTTGTATATGAGGATTGTGGACAGAGATTTAGCCAGAAGACAGATTTAAATGGGCACGTCAGAGTCCACACAGGACATGAACCTTTTGTATGTAAGGACTGTGGACACACATTTAACTTGAAGACTAATTTAATCAGACACATGAGAGTCCACACCGGAGAGAAACCATTTGAATGTAACCTTTGTGGACAAAATTTTAGCCAGAAGTCTGATTTAAACAGACACATGAGAGTTCACATGGGACAGAAACCTTTTATATGTGAGGACTGTGGACAAAGCTTTAGCAGAAATTTTCTTTTAAACTCACACATGAGAATCCACACAGGAGAGAAACAATTTGTATGTGATGACTGTGGGCAAAAATTTAGCTGGAAGTTTCATTTAAACAGACACAAGAGAGTCCACACAGGAGAGAAACAATTTGTATGTGAGGACTGTGGACAAAAATTTAGCCAGAAGTTTCATTTAAACCAACACACGAGAGTCCACACAGGCCAGAAACCTTTTGTATGCGAGTACTGTGGACAAAGATTTAGCCAGAAGTCTAATTTAAACAGACACACGAGGGTCCACTCAGGACAAAAACCATTTGTGTGTGAAGACTGTGGACATAGATTTAGCCATAAGACTAATTTAACCAGACACACAAAAGTACACAGGAAACAAAGCTCTCCTCTGCAGTGAGGTCAAAGTTTTACTCTTCAGTCTCCTGTTGAATACGAGAACTCTCACAGGAGGCAAACAGATTAACTGAATATTATAAGACGATTCCTAAACGCACACGAGAGTTCACTCTGAAGTAAAACTGCACAGTTCCAGAGTTTGATAAATAGATGTGTAGTTTCAGTTGTTTTTATTCACAATATTTGGTGTAATTGCTTGTGCCGAATCGATATGGAAATTTTGGCTGTCGTTGATACCGATATTGGGAGGTGACGGCTAATGCTGATAACCGATATATTGATGTTTTGAGCTTTGTCCACCCCCATCAGCTTCTTTTAAACCATTTTAACACTTGAAATCTTGAAACAGTCTTCCTAACTTGCGTTCACATTTTCTATCGTCCACTGTTCACCGTGTTACAAATCTGTAAATTAAAAAAAGAAACGCCCTTCCCTGTTCAGTGTTTAAACAGTCAGTCACGTATGGTGAAAGTAATTAGTATTGACTGCAGCAGCATTTTTTCTTTGCAAAAAAGTAAACATTTCAGACAAATAGCGTTTCATTGAGGACAACAAAGATAATGTTACTGTCACTGATATACATACTTGCAAACTAGTCGCTTTTCGGTGAAAATCGCCGTTTTCAAAATAAAATGTAATTTACGTGAATCGTCTAGATCCAAAGAGTTTTTGTTTTCGGGGTGGGTGTCAGAGGCGTGGTGGACGACATCATTTCCTTTTAAGAAACGGCGTTTCTCCTCAATCACTTGGTTTAGCAGGTGCATCTTATCTCAATCCCTTTGGGGAATTTCATTGTTGGGGCAGAGAGAGGAGGTGAAGACACCTCCATGTTGCGCGTTAGCTTACAGCAAGTTGTTGACCGGGGTTAGGATGTGAGAGAAACGGTGCGTGTAGCATCTTAGCTAGCTTGTCTGTGTCGTGCGCGGCTAAATTTTGCCTTAAGATTTGAAAAGTTCAGCTGGTGTTAGGGAGAAAGAAGCCAAGTGACAAGTTTTCTGGAATGTAAAATAGTTAAAATCAGTAATGAAGGAATACTGGAAAGGAAAACGATGGGAGAAGGAGATCTTATTCCAAGTGGATTGTGAAGTAAAGGAGAATAAAAGTTATGATGTGTAGAAATTGTGGTGGCACCAAGGTAGGAAGGAACCTGTAAATTATTTTGTTTTAATAATTACATGCAGGTTGACAAAACTGACTAAAGGTGTGTGTGCGTGCGTGCGTGCGTGCGTGTGTGCGTGCGTGCGTGTGTGCGTGCGTGCGTGTGTGTGACGCTTGGCACAGTGTAATTTAGTATTGTGAAGGCTGCATGATGCAGGTCATTTTTTGTTATGAGCAGGTCTATCATTAAATCAGAAAACAGTAAAAAGTCTCATAAATTCAAAACAGTCTGCTCCTCAGATAAATAGTGTTAACTTATTATTTTTATATATGAATGTTTCTGTTCAGTGCCCTGAGATGACTTCTGTTGTGACTTGGCACTATATAAATAAACTGAATTGAATTGAATTGAACTGTCTGTTGGTGGATGTTAAAATGCTTCATTGGGTAAAGTTAATATTCTTATTTTTAAACATGAAGTTGAGTGTCCAGCTATGGTAAACCAGGGTCAGAGCGTCAGAGCGCCAGAGTCCCCGCCTTCGGCCACTGCCCATAGCATCATGCAACTGACTTTTATGGCCCTTCCTGCAGGTGGTGGGTCCACAGGAAGGCAAACCCATGCTGCTCCTTTGGGCTGAGCCTAACCAGGCCTCATGGGTAGAGACCCGGTCACCAGGCGCTCGCCGACAAGCCCCTCCCCCAGGCCTGGCTCAAGGGTGGGGCCCTGGTAACCCACATCCGGGCAAGGGACACTGAGTTCCTTGCTGTGTCATGACCATAAAAATCTTCTGAATTGCTCTTTGTCTGGCCTGTCACCTAGAACCAATCTGCCTTGGGAGACCCTACCAGGGGCAATTATAATTGCCCCCGACAGCATAGCTCCTAGGATCATTCAGGCACACAAACTCCACCACGATACACATACACATCATTGTGTCCCCCCCACATTACGAATGCTTCTGATGCCCTTGGTCCAGCCGCTGCTTTCTGCCAAATGGAGGGAAAGTTTTTGCAAATCTACAGTATTTATTAAGTTGACAGAACTGGCAGGAAAGTCGCAAATAATCCTGAAGCTGAACTCATCCCTCAAGTTTAAGTAGTATCTTCACTGTAGATCGACCAATCTCCAAACTGTATTTTAGCTAAGGTTTTAGAAAACCTGATAAATATTCAAGTCAAGAAGTATTTGGACTCTTAATATTTTATCTTCTCTCCAATCTGGCTTCAGGAAACAACATAGCACAATGACTGCTTCGCTAAATGTTTTTAATGATGTTGTTGAAGTTTTAGACGCTAAAGATTACTGTGCTGCACTTTACTTAGACCTGTCCAAAGCTTTTGATACAGTAGATCATGATATCTTAGGCCACAAGCTCTCAGTTTCTCAGATCACACTGCTGGATGGTCCTCAAACTATCTCTCAGGTTGAAGGCAATGTGTTTGACATAACTGTACTTCATCTAGCTACCTAACGGTCACCTATGGTGTGCCACAAGGCTCAGTTTTAGGTCCCACTCTTATAACAATTTCTATAAATAATGTAGGTCAAAACATTCCTGACACATCCTTGCATCTCTTTGCCGATTACACTGTTGTTTATTGCCGAGCTAACACAGTTGCCAAAGTTTTCCAGCTTCTACAGTCTGCATTTACTTCTGCATGTTCTAGAATTGCGCCGCTCAAGGTGGCTGCATGTTGGAGCAGCTCTGTTACTTTCATTCTGAGATTTTGCTTTTGGAAACTTTATTTTCTCTTTTTCTGGATGTAAATCACATGTTTTGGATGATTGTTTCCTCTGGTATCAGATGCTGTGCAGCTGGAAGGATTTTTACTGAAACTTTTTTAGTTTTGGACATTTGTTATGATGCGTAACCATGGCAACAAGGCAGTTTTCTACAACCAACAGCTGATTAACATCTCAAAAGCTCAAATAATATCTCAACTACAGCCCCAAATCTCAAGTGAGTTGAAAAGGATGTTCTGTCGACACATTCTCGTCTACTTGCCTGCTGTGCTTGAGTACCTGACCACTGAGATCCTGGAATTAGCAGGAAACACGGCACATGACAGCGGAAGGACAGGATCGTCCATCAGCACCTACAGTTGGCTGTCCGCAGCAACGAGGAGCTCAGCAGGCTGCTTGGAGGAGTGGCCATAACTCTGGGAGGAGTCCTGCCCGACATTTGGGCGGTCCTACAGCCTGGGGGAACCGAGAGGCCAGCCAGTCTGAGTGGACGGATCGGACGACATCTGCAGCCAGTTTCTTAGGATCCACTGTGGGATGGACCTTTACAAGAGATCCTTCCTGTCTACAGCCATCAGTATATATAACATCTCTTAATGAAATGAGGATAATGAGTTACAACAACAAATAATTTCCCTTTCAAGCTTGTGCTAAATGTTGACAAAACCAAAGGGATGTTTTCCAACAGAAAGTCAGTGCCAGCAACTCTTCCTCATCTCATCCATGCATGCTGTTCCTATTGAGTTTATGGATTCTTACAAACACTTGGGAATTTTGGTCGATTCACATCTCTCTTTTAAACTTATGTCGAAAACTTGATAAAGAAACTGAAATTAAAACTGGGTTTCTTTTTTCAGAAATAGCTCTTGCTTAACTTTGAATGCCAGAAATCACCTTGTAACCACTACCTTCCTACTGGCCATTGACTAAGGTGACATTATTTACATGAATGCCCCTGCCAGCTCTGTGCAGATGTTGGATGCTGTCTACCATGGCGTGCTAAGATTCATAACGAACTGTAACTATCATACCCATCACTGCACTCTGTACTCCTTGGCCAGTTGGTCATCATTATCTACACGTAGGCTCTCACAGGTTCATCTTTATCTATAAATCCTTCCTTGGTCTGCTACCTTCTTATATCTCCTCCCACGTGTCACACCGTCAGTGCAGTTACAACATGCGCTCTCAGGCCATCATTACCTGCAGCGTCCCCTTAGTGCAGACTGAACTTGGCAAAAAGGCTGTTTCCTACTCAGCTCCTGCACCTGGAACACCTTACAACAGGAACTGAAGTTGTCCACCTTGATTTCTTGAAGGGATTTCAAACATTTGATAATGTCAATAGAAAAATCAAATCAAATATGCTCTTGTTTTAGTATTTCACCCTGTTTTACAGCACCTTGATTTACTGATTTATACACTACTCTTATTTTAACTGCATTTTTACTGTAGTTTATTGTTGTCATTGTTTACTGTTTTGTTGTCTGTACTTTATGTATTCTGTCTGGAACAGGTCCCGCTTGTAAATGAGTCCCTGTGGCTCAATGAAGCTAGCCTATATAAATAAAGGTTGAATGAAAAAAAAAGTGGAGTAAATGGGCTGCAGTTGATCCAAACTCAATGTAACCAAATCAAGGGGGCTGCAGGGGACAGACGGTGGTGGGGTTCGGCCTGGTTTTGGTCATGCGGTGCTGGTCCGGACCGGGCTGAGGTGGTGGACTACATCATGGGCAGCCTCGCGGGTGGAGTGTCCTTTCTAGAGCAGCAGCACGCACACATCAACCTGGACGGGGCAGTCATCTTAGTCATGCTGCAGGGTAGCTAAATGGAACCAAGCCCGAACGGAACCGAGCTTCGGCAGAGCTGGTGACTTCCTATATAAAATTTTGCAGTAGATCTGTACAGTACATATACGTACGTTGTTAAAATTACATAGCGTTAAGAGTTTAGAACATTGTGGGCTTCGTCGCTGCAGGGTAGGCCTGCAGAACTGGAACCGAGCCTGACCGACCAGAACCGAGCTGCTGTTCTGCAGAGCTGGTGAGTAAAATTTTGCAGTACTGTACACAGGGCCGACCCAAGCCTCCATGGGGCCCTAAGCGAAATTTGGTTTGGGGCCCTCTATTTCTGCTATTAATGGGATTACTGCAATCACCAGTCAGATGATTAGATCATTCACCCACCTAGCATTTAACTCATTGCAACTCTGACAGTCCTGTTTATATTATCCTCTATGTAGATATTATAGTGGTACTAAAAGAAACAAACTAAAAAAAACACCAGTATTCAATGTATTTTACAGCAAAAGTGTCAACTGGTTTATCATCTTTGTTTCCAAAGAACTGCAGCAGTAATGTTCAAAATAATTTTTAGTGCAAGATCAAGAACAAACAACAGATAAAATAACTTAGATGCATAAAATAAATTAAATTGTGCAAATACAGACAAAATAAAATAAAAATATCAAGGAAATACTTAATAATGTAAATGAACAATTACTTGAAACCATGTAAAATGGTTTTAAAAAATGTATTTAAAGTTGAATATTTAGTTTTTAAAACTACGTAAATGTATGGAATAATTTGCAAAAGCTGAACTTAAACAATTAAATAGAATCATATAGAAATAATTACAAAAAATATTTCAATTCCACTTAGGAGGCCCCCTAGTTGCCCCGGGGCCCTAAGCAGCCGCTTAATTTGCTTATGCCTTGGGCCGGCCCTGACTGAACAGTACATATGTAGTTAAAATTACGTACGGTTAAGAGTTTAGAACATTGGAAAAGTGTGGTGTTTCAGAGCCTTTATCTATCTATGTATCTATCTATCTATCTATCTATCTATCTATCTATCTATCTATCTATCTAT